CGGCGGTCGTATTTGCGGAGTTAAGGGAGGTGGTGGTGGCGGTAGTGAGGGAGTTTAGGTTGGAGATGGTGGAGGGACAAGTGGTGGAGCCAAAGTTGTCGATCATACTGCAAATGCGGAATGGGTTGAAGGTGAGGGTGATGAGGAGGGAGAGTTAATTTGTTGTAGCCAGGTAAAGGTTAAAGACTGTAATAAGCTCTAAGTGCAATATGGTGTTTGCTCATGAAATCCATAGGTGGGAAGAAGGGAATAGATGGCAATTAGATGGCATCGCATGTGTGTATTGCAAGTGAAAGGGACAAAATTGCAAAAACAAATTTTTGGAATATAATAAAATTGTTTTTATTTTCTCTTGGAAACATTTACATACATACCAAGCAATTTCTATATATTTAGATGTTTGAGCATGTAAACTTTAATTTTTACATGAGAAGGTTATCATTTTGATGTGACAAAAAATTTGGGTGCATGAATGTAAATAAGCAAAAAAAACAAATTTAAGTGTTATATATGACTTCTTGGGAATTGAGTGGCATGCATGTGAATGTCCCTTTTTTTTATTAATTTAAAAATTCTGTGATGAAAAAGGTAAAATTTTGGATGACTGATATATTGATTTTTAAATATTGATATGATTAAAGGTATGATGATATTTAATATTTTGCAGTACTGATAGATAAATATCACTTACACTATTTATTTTAATTTATGGCCATCTCCTTGCACTGAATTATCATGTGCGCTACTTATTTTAATTTATTGTTATATCCTTACACTTATCTCAGGACAGATGCCACATTTCTTATTGATACATTCTAAACTTTGGGTATGCAGGGGCGGATGTCATTTGAATATGAATTTTTTTTTAGGCTATTGGAGAAGAGTAAGGTGTTCAAAAAATTACGGTGGTTATTATATATATATATTTTAAGTCAGATCGTAGTTTTCTAGTAGCTACAACAATCAGTCAGGTCTAGTGAGAAAACACAACATTCAACTGTAATTTTTTGAGAATGCAGATAAAATACAGTTTTATTAAAAGGAAAAAAACTATGGTGAAATACTGCACCGGCACCGCAACATTGCCCCAAATACATCCTTAAGACTTGGTTTTCTACCCCCACATTCCAAAAATATGTATCATTTAGCAATTAGCACTAGGCAGTAGCTGTTAATGTATACGGAGAATGCTGGGAAAAAAAAAGAAAATCTATATATGTAACACACAATTCTTATATATTTATATATCTCACACCTAAATTTTCATATTTACATATATTGTTAAAAATTCATGCATGAAAATGTGTATTTCACTTTTAAAAATAATAATAATGTGATTTTTGATGTTATATTAATGATTTGAGTGCTTTATGTATAATACAAAAGTTTAGGTGTGAGATATGTAAATCCAAAAATGTTATGCCATGTATGCAAATTACCCTAAAAAAATCACATTTGTATAATTTTCTAGCTATCGTTTGCCATCCAACTATGCATCACTCATAATCGGGTGTCATCTTGTTTGCCTCTAATTTTTACATATGAACCACATTCACAACCTCCTTCACATGCCATATACAAATTTCCAAAATCCTGAACGATTCTTGAGGCATGATATAGATCTCGAGATAATCGTTTAAGCACGAAACATTCAAACTTCAATTAACAGTCGTTCAAAGCTACGATTTCAACCAACTTACGATCAAACAGACCAGTTAGGCGAGACGGGCCCAATGTACTAAAGTTGGTCCAATTCAAACAAAATTAAGTTCTGATCAAGTCATTAAAACGCTTTTAGAAGCTTTCCGAACATATTTAAAAAGTCAAACTGATGGCGAATTTGACAAGCTTATAATCGAATCGAGCATTATAACAAGACGAATCTAATGAGCCCAATAACGCTTAATTCTGACAATTTTAAGACATGTAAATATTCATCAAATATTGTGTGATCGAGGAAATTTCTCTGGGTCATTCGATCAGGGTGATTCATATTTCTTCATTAATTGTAACCAAAACTCTATAAATAGAGTCGTATCCCTCTCTTGATGGGGAAGAGAGCTTGAAGCCTAGAGAATACCGAAGCATGGAGAAGGAGCTGAAGTTGTCTCCTATTCCTGCAATTGCTAGCCACTGCAAATCACCATCAACTACCATTAGTGGGCCGTTGTCCACTCCTTGCGACGATGCACCGCACGAGCAATCTGTGAAAGGTGTATCATCCTAAGAACAGGGCTGACGATGCAGCAATGCACCTCAAAGGTAGTATAACAACTTACCCCAAAGGCAATGCAACAATGCATCTCAAAGATTGGGTAACGACACACCTTACATACGTTAGTGTAGATCCTGACTTCGGCTCTTACAACCTACAAATATCATTACAACTCACCACTACTGCCCACGTGACCAACCATAGCCTACATGGTCCACAACTTGTATAGCTTCTGACTTCGGCCCTCACAGCCTACGAATGTCAATATTACTCACCAGTTTAGGTCGTCCACAGCTCGTGCAACTTCTAACTCTGGCCCTCATGGCCTACAGGCGTCATCACTAATCACCACTAAGACCGACATGACTAACTACGACATACGTGGTCCATAACTCGTGCAATTCCCAACTCCGACTCTTGATGTCTAGGGACGTTATTACTACTTACCACTATGGCCTATGTGATCAACAATGAGCAATGTGGTTCACAAATCTTGCAGCTCTCAACTCTGACTTTTGCGGTCTACAGACGTCATTACTACTCACTACTACGGCCTATATGACCAACTAAAGCTTATGAGGTCCACTGCTCATGCATCTTCTGACTCAAGCCCATGCAACCATGGAAGTCATAACGGATCACTATTATGGCTTATACGGCCTACGTGGTCCAAAACTCCCTTAACCCTCTACTATAGCCTCTATGAACAACTGTCGCTCTTGAAGCAACCATCTATAGTCCAGCTACTATCATGGTTATCAACTACAACTTCTACGACAAGGTGGCACTACATCTACCATTTACGACACTCACGATGGACTACTCCCTCCGCATCAATCGACTATGACCATTGTTGTCTGCTTTCACCAAGAACTACAATCATATTACAAATATGCTACAATTTGGTAAATCCATTTTCCCTAATTCAGAAGAAGAGTAAACCTGTGTATGATCACCATCCATAGTGGATTGTTTCAATTGGGCTAGACCCCGTGGTTTTTTCCCCTTTCAAGGGTTTTTCACATAAAAAGTTGAGTTATCTCCTGTTGCTTATTTCTCTTTAATAACTTGAGTGTTTGTTGGTTTTTCATGTAATGTTAAGATAATAAATAATCATTAATATAGCACCATGACTTCTAGCACACTTGAGTTTGGCGTCGTTTATGGGAAATAAAGTCTCATTCAATACAGTCCTCAAGTCAAAAACGTTGAACTCCTACTTCGTTTCTCAATGATATACATCATATGATTGGAAAAGGAACCTCCTTTGCACATCTTGAAGATATTTCCGGAAGCAATATTCAGTGAAGAGCGCAACCTTCACTGTAGTCTCGAAAGATCGCTCATGTCAACGTTCTAAGCATAATCATAGTGGGGTAGTCCTTAGGCATCCCATTTGGACAACAAGTCTACATAAAACATTTCCAAGCTAAACTCGATTGAAAGTTACCATGCATCTAGAGGACGAGCCTAAGAGGCAAGTCTTCATGTGAAGCAAGTAGTTAACACTATAGGTTTTCAACAAATTTGCATCGGTCAAATCGAACGTAAATCCGACGCTATTTGAGGATTATCATTATATTTGTGTTAGATTTACGTATGATTTTTTTTTTTTGTGTGGGTAATTCAGAGGTAGCTAATATTAATTCCATCAGTTTTACGTTGAAGTAGTCTGACAAATTATTAATGTCAATTTTTTCATCATCATAGCGCCGGACTTGTTTAGCCTACACATGCGTCAAATTTTGTATCTCAAAACATCATACGAAAAATAATGTCATCTAATTACCGTCTGATTTGCATCAGGCTTAGTTTGATGGACAACATGTCAGATTATAGGACGCAAAATAGGCACAAAAAGGATGCAAAACTACCAAAAAAAAAAAAAAAAAAAAAAAAACCACAACCTCCATACAACATTTAATCCACATCATAACAACATTATATCTAGTCATATCATGTATCAAAGCTTTAAGGAATATCAATACTGAAAAAGGAGACACTATCACAAATCTAAATATAAAAAAATTACATATACACCTTGGTCAATATAAGTTCAAACATTTCATAAAATAAAAATACATAATAACATATAATCCTTCTACTCATCATCTTCCACCTCCTCATCCTCCTCGATTACAAGAGTCACCATTCACTTGTCCCAATGATATTTTATAATTTCCGTCATACGTGCTATACTCTACTCAATTCTCTGTTGAACTTCATGCAGATGATGAACCTCCTCAGTCATAGTAGTGACCTTCTTGGCAAGCTTTGCATTACTCGGGTGTGACGAGCTCGTGCCACCCATAGAAGCAAAAGAGATCTCGACCTTCTTTTTCTTCGCTTCCTGTATTCATAGCTCAAACTTAGACTGCACAGTGGTGGACATACCACTATTGCTAGCAATTCTCCGGGTATGGAAGAGCAATTGCCTCTCTCAGAGTTGCTCGTACTCCTATATAATAAAAGCTAATTATTAATTGTCATTTTAAACATTAAGACTCATAATAAATATAACTAAATCAATTTTTTACTTACATTCACCCGCTGAGGTGGTTGATCACCAACACCACCCGTGGTCATCTGTAGTAGAACTAACAACAAAAATAATTAGGATCAGTATACACAAGTAAAAGAAGGAATGTGCAGAATCTAAACAAGAAGCATATCATAACTATGTCTAAAAAAATTTTAAAAAAAACATGATAAGTATGACATAAGTAGCAAAAGCAAACAAAAAGTTCATGAATATATTTGTTAAAAAAGTTTGACTAGGAGATCATAAAAATGCATGTGCAACATTCTATGCAAGATTTTTGCTTAGAATGCTTGAAGGAATTCAAATTAAATTTGACTTTTAGATATTTTTAATGGGATTTTTACACACATCACGAAATTCTTATGCATATACATACCTAACTCCTAAACTTCAAATTTTTTTCATACATTCCGCCTTTTCTATACATAAAAAAAGTGGAATACATCTTTTTATGCATATGTGTCGTGACATATATGCAAAAATTGAAGTTGAGGTGTTAGATATGTATCTGCACAATAATTTCATGGTATATATGTAAATCTATCATTTAATTTATCAAACATTAAGAACTAGTTAGAAACTTGATTTTGACCTTTAAGGTTACCTATGTAAAAGAGTATGACCAAAAAATGAAAATTTAGTATTAAGAAAAGCATAACTGAGAGGAGAAAGATTAACGGAAGATCATTATGTGGATGATATATTAGTTAAAATAGCATATTTAAGTTCAAAAGAAACTAAGATACCAGTGCATAGCTTGACTATGGATCAAATTATGTTAATCACAATGCAATCAACAAATTAAGATTCATGAGTCACGGTCCAAGACTATTAGATCAATTAATTGGATTAAATCAAATTGAGACCATATAGATTCTAAATGGGTCATGTTGGCTCATTTGGTAATACTATGGTCAAAATAGGTTGAACAACCATAAATAAAAGACCTCCTAGAATAGCTCTATGCTAATAAAAGGAACTAATTTAATAACTAAAGTCAGATCCATAATAAAATATAATGATCTTCTCCTACTTCTACTCATAAATAGACAAAGGCTATGATAAATAATTGGATCTTTGATTGCTCAACTTTTACCCCTGATAGATCTCATATCTGGAAATAATTCTGTCACTTGCTACCTGAACCCAAGCCATCAAAACATTGGCTTCAAATCATAATATATTTTTCTGCACCCTGGATGAATTGCATATCGTAAATAATGAATTTTATATAATAACTCTTTCCTCACATCACCATTAGTAAAGACCAAAATTCAAGTACCATAAGTCAACATGCCATGATAATCTACATGTAATTCAACTCATCTTCTTGAGTGTATTTGATAAATTAATCTTGTATATCATCATCTAATTTTTAAGCATTTTTAATCTTCACATGTAAATTATTGTAAAAATTCTATGCAAATTGTCATACCAGTGAACTTCATATAAAATTCATCAACGACCACATTAATTTTATCAAGCTAAAATATAATATTGAGATTAGATTTTTTTTATCAATTGCAATCTTCGATTCTTTTTTAAGTTCAAAACTAATTAAATCCAAAATTAAATGACTAGCAAAAAAATACTCAACCATCCAATCCTAGTTCATGCCTTCCCCAAAACCAACTCTAATCTCACCCAAACCTGCTTTTATACAATCTATATAAATAGCAAGCTTGTAATACATACCAATCAATACTCATCTATATTTATACACATAGCTTACACCTAATTTTATGCATAAACATTCCTAAAATCTAAATTTCAAATGTTACGTACATACCGCTAAAATCTTATCCATATACATGTATAACACCTAAACTTCAAATGTTACATACATATTGAATTTTAAAAAAAGCAAAGAATGGAGCAAAGTTACCTTTTCGATCCTCTCACAAGAGGAAATTGGCTAGGGTCGCGATGGGGTTTCAATGGCGGGTGGGAGGTACGGTGACAGGGAGGTGCGGCGACCAGCAATGGGGAGGTGCGGCGACCAGCAATGGGGAGGTGCAACGACAGGTGAACGACGAAGGAGAGAGGGAGGAGAGGAGATGTTAGGGTTTTGGGTGTTGCGGAAGGTAGGAGAGGAGATGGGAGCCTGACGACCGAAGAAGAAAAAAAAAATGGAAGGCACAAGATGAGTTTTTTAGGCATATTGCGTTGGATTTATCGTCTACTTTGTGTTAGATTTTTTTTATGCTTTTGAGAAAAGCTTTTGTGTTGATTTATTTGAGGAAAATCCGACACAGAAAGCGCCGCAACAACAACATTAATTCCCTCATTTTTTTGTTAAATATTCAGACGTAAATCCAATGCAACTTCCGATACAAATAGAATAAATTTTATTTAACGCAAATCAATCACAAAAACTTATGCCAATGTAGACGTAGCCGTCGAAAATTTCCGACGCAAAATGTCAACGCTAATTTAAAGCTCTCCTATAGTGTGATTGGATCCTCGTTAGATAGACTCTACAAGAGCAAGTGGTTGACGAGGTTCCTCTACTCAAAGACCCCAGAAGGCTACAAGCCAAAGAAGACATATGTCCATGAAAGACGTCAGAAAGCTACAAGTCTTAGAACTGACATGTACATCAAAGATGTCAAAAGGTTGCAAATCTCTAAAGAAACCAATACATTTCAAGCTCTTAGAAGGCATAAGCCTAAGAAAACAGAAGCCTTAGAAGATATAAGCATAAGAAGATACAAATCTTTGAAGACACGAGTCTGAAAAGGTATGCGATTCATTTTTATATAAAGTGCAAGTACTAATATTGATTGTAGAATTCACCATGTTTAAGAGACCAAAAAACCTTAAAAGGCATAAGCCTAGAGGTCAACACTAATATGCGCCCCTGAAGTGGGACAACAATTACCCATAAGTCGGGCGACATCATCTTAAAAATGGAGTAACCACAACTTAGAAAGAAAAGCAAAAGCAACCTTATAAGCAACGTCAAAGATGTACAAATAATTAGATTATCACCATCTACAAATGCCACAACGCGGGTAAAAAAACATAAAGATCAATAAACACTAGAGGATGAGATTTTCCACATATCATTGCCGCAGAAGCATAAAAATCTCCCTATAAATACATGGCGGAAAAACTCAAACATTTCTTCATTTCCCTCAGAATGCGCGACAAAATCGCAAAAGAAAACCACGAGAGAGGATTTTGGGTCACCTGTTGGGCAGAGACAAGGATAACTTTCTTCATCTCAGTAACAAGAAAGAAAATCTTGATCACCTGCTGGGCAGGGATGGAGATTACTTACTTCTGCACCGCAATAATTTTCTTCTTCACCGCAACATGAAAGAAGATCCCAGAGGTCCTGTTGGGCAATGTCAAAGATAACTTTCAGGATGACTTTCTTGCACTTCTTCATAAAAAAAAGAAATCACAGATCACTTGCTGGGTAGGGATGGGGACGACCTTTTTTCTCTTTCTTAGGGCCGAAATTTCTCTCTTTTCTCCACTTCAGCCATCCAACTTGAATTCTACTAATAATACCCCCATATATATCACCATCACTTTGAAAAATAGATTAGAGATATCTAAAACAATCACATCTTTAATGATTTGACCGCTCATTATTACAATTTTGTCACTAGGTCCACCATAACTAAAATACATTCCATGTATTCAGTTTTAGATCTACTCAAATGAAAGTCATTATACTCTAATGTAGACTTTTATAATTCTAAGTTTTTCCTAAACCCTTTCTCTAGACTTATCCTCAAAAAAGATATTATCAACCAAAGCATACAACAAGGTACAACCTCATGTAAATTTTTAGTAAGAGCATCTAAAACTAATGTAACAAGATATGAGCTTAAAGTCAATCTTTGATGTGATTAAACTGAAATAGGAAAATACTAGGTCAATCTTCCTTCTGTTTGAACACAATTAATAACTCCAGAACACATCCTTAATGACTTGAATATGAGTCATATAAAAATCTTTCTTTTCTAAAACCTTTTCTAAAACTCTCCAAAGAACTTCTCTTGGAATCTTTTTGTAAGTTTTTTTCTAAATCAATAATAAACCTATGTTATCCTCCTTACTCTCCCTATTCTTCTAAATCAAACCTCTCAATAAATGTATATGGGAGAAGTGGGATAGAACTCTATTTCTTTGGAACTACTTTTGCCCTCTAAAAAATCTCTAAGCTTCTTCTCACATTTTTTATAATCTCTCTCCCATATTGTATGAGTTCACGGGTTACATGGGATCATAACTCACAAGTCCCAAAAATATTCAACAATGGCATTCAACGTGGAGGACAAAATTATTAAAATGAGCCGTGTTAGAAGAAAAAAAAAAGAAAGACAAGTGGGTAATTGCCTTCCACATATTTGAATATCTCTTACTATTATTAAAGGCTTACAAATTTACTCAAATAATTTAGCCACGTGATCAATTTTTTTAAAATTTTCTCAACAGTATAAGCACTCAAATTCCAGATTCAAGACTTTTACTACTTTTCTTTGGTTTGAAAACTACCACATTATTTTAAACTAATATTGCTAAGTTCAAGCTTACGAATTTAAAATTTGACTAAAAGATACATAATAGGCTGTCCTAAACTATCTTAAACTGGCTAAATTCAAATAACTCGACCTATCATAAATGCATTCTATCAGAGCATTAAATACTTATTCTAATGCTTGTTTGTGTTCATCCAGCTGACAAACTCATTAAATGATGAACTTCTCAGGTTCACTTATAAAATGTCAATATAAATTTGGAAAATATATACATACATATCACCTCACTCTTACGTATTTACATATCAAACTTCAAAATTTAAAATTTCAAAATTTACCCATATATGTTACAGATCTAACATCTAAACGATATAAATGTAAAAGATAAGAGTTTAAGATCAGTTATAGATGTAAATATATAGAACTTAGGTGGTTACTATGTAAATGCCCCTATAAATTATTCAGCTTTCATACCAACAGTCGATAGTATCCCATCACATCATGCTTCTGCATGAACTGCTATTTATGTTTTCGTACTTATTTTTGGCAATTACCAGTGCAAAAAAGGGGACGGTGGTGAATCTCAATTTCTAATTGAACTCCGAAATTGAACGGCGGCGAAATGAACCGTTACTTGTTTCCGGCGACGTCGCAAGCTGAACAACTGGTGTACTGAACCGGAGCTGAAATGATTCTAGAACGTGTTGACTGTTGCCTTCCCGAGCTAAACTTCTGTCGTCCCGAGTTTGGCGGCGGCTTCCATCTCGGTACAGCTGGTCTTCTTGCATGGCCGAGCTACTACTGCTTCTCCGACGTCCGTATGGCGAGCCATGCGGCAATGGTGAATTAAGCATGCGCTGCTGTCCAAAAATGTCTATTAGGTCTTACGGCGTTGTGGTAGAATGTGTAAACACACGATGATTGAAAAATAATATGAGAAATTGTAAAAAATTGGGGTCTAAGAGGGGCATTTACACTCGTTCCCCCGAGTTTTTAATTGTCGATATATCTAACAACTAAGGGTCTGTTTGGGGCAACTGTTGATTATTTATAAACAGATTATTCTGATAATTTGATAATCTGCAGATTATCAGAATAAGTTAATATTAGAATAAACTGACTTGCTGTTTGGTGCAGCTTATTCAGAACAACTTACTAGGAGTTGTTGTTGGATAAATGATCATTTTGCCCCTGTTTGGTTAAACTGTTTGCAACAGAACTGTTTATGAAAAATAATAGAAAAAACAGATGTCTCAAAATATTACAGTTCAGTTGCATAAAATTAAAATACATTACTCACCACTTCGTGAGTATTTTGCTCACCACTTCGTGAGTATCAAATATAAATAAAATAAGAAGAAATATCAACACAAATGAAGTATAAATGAAGTATAAAATTATTGAAAAAAACATAAGAACACAAAAGAATTATGTGGTTCGATCAAAGACCTACATCCGCAGTAAGACATCGAACATGTTTTATCATGCATTTGTCTAAGGTTACATAGATTTGAATCTCAACGGAGAACACTACAACATTCTCTCAGCTTCCTCTATACAATCGGTTTTTCATATGTTTCCACCCTTCACATATGTGCCTCAACTAAACAAAAGTTGCATCACACAAATTGTAGCAAATTTCATCACAGAAGCTACAGCTAAGGAGAAATTGCAGCTAATAGTATTACCAATATAACCTGCAGCAAATTCCATCAAAAAAACTGCAGCTAAACAGAAATGGCCCAGCAAAAACTTCACCAAATCATGAAGCTTTGAAAACCATGAAATGCTATTATTGAACTTCTCAACTTGGCAACCTTATTAATAAAATGAAGCTTTGAAAACTATGAACCCAATGCAAACTTCTGCATCAAATACATAAAATTAGAAGCTGCGGATCAAGCTACTTCGACAAATACATGAACCATGAATTGTGCCTAATTCAGATCAAACTGCAGCAAAGAGAGAAACGATGAACTGCAGCTAATGGAGAAAACACCCATTACAGGAAACCCAATTTTCAAGTGTAACATACAGAAAAAAAATGGATATCTATAACTAGCATTTTTCAATCCATGAAAATCTCCGCATGAAAATCTCCACCAATTAAAGTTTGCTACTCCGCCAATTAAAGTTTGCTAAAGAAGAGAAACACTTAAAACACTGTAAGGAGTCATCAAAACCACCCTTAAAAGAAACATGACTTCTAAACCCATCAAGATTATCTTAATAGCTACAAAAAGAGAACAACCACGAGATGCAGTGGCCACATGATGCAGGGGTTCTTGCCTGACATTTTTCAAAACGTCGCCGCAGCCTAATAATAACTACCAATTTTCCATTCATCTTCTTTGGATAACCAAAAGAATGGAGCCATGCATTAATTATAAATGCCTTATATTAATACCAAGTAAAAAGGAGCCATGAATTTATGACCAATTGTTGTTAACACGAAGTAAATGCCTTATAATAATAATCAAACTTGAGATTCCCCAAAGAATTCTAGAGAAGCAGCTGAAATTAGACCCAAAGAAATCTAGAGACCCAACTAATCAAATTCATTGAACACATCACACAAAATTAGACCCAACTGAAATTAGAACCAGCTGAGATCTATGCATCCCACACAATCAAATGTGCCATGTGCATTCAATACAATGAAATTAGAACCAGCTGAGATCTAGAGACCCAGTATTGATAATCAAATTTGTTGAACGGTGCCTTTTTCATGAAATGTGCTCAGTTGAAGCATCAACAATACCATGAATGCAATATAACGATTGATTTGAACCAACACAACAAGTCATTTTAGCCGCAGACATTTCACCAAGAACATTCCACCATAAACTCTCGGTGTCAGCACGTGAATGCATAAGAAACAAGGGCTAACTTCATAACCCAAATACCAAAAAATTCCTATGTACTAACCTACATTAAAATGCATTTGAATAAATTCATTTGCATATCAATACAAATAGATCCAGGATAGTTCCTCTGTTTCCCGGCTTTATTAGAAAGAAAGTGCAACACTACCCCACTACCCAATGCATTCCAAGCATTCCAAGATAATCCAACAAAATCATCAGCAAGAAAACCCTACATTTATATCAATTGAAATTTGTCAAATTTTGGGATAGAAAAAATAGATTAGACGATAAATACACCAAAAAACTCGCATATCCTCACCGGAGTAAACAGATCTCACCGGAGCTTACAAACGATTCGATCTACGCGAGGGTGAAGATTGGGGAGGGAGACAACAAGAGAGAGGGCGATAGAGAGCTGAGAAGGGCACGGAAGGAAATATTTCCCTAAATGCTAGTCACGGACGCAGGACGCGGGGTCTTGGGCGCGTCGAAAGACCCTTAACAAATACTAATGCACGTATCGGAGCGTCACCAGAACGCGATGCTAATGGAGTTTTCAAACACATCGGCGAAGTTTTCAAAACGCCACCGCAGCCTAATAAGCTGCCCCAAACAGGGTTTAAATTTTACTTTGTATTATTTAGGACATCTAAGACTCTATTTGACGCAGTTGCAGCAGCTGCACTGCCTCATGAAGCAACTTCATGAGCAGCGCAACTGCTGTGGGGAAGCTGTTGCGGGGAAGCTGACTGCATGTTGGGACAACGATGTGAAAACAATTGTGGGGCTGTTGTTTTTGTAAAAATGATGATTCTGCCCCTGTTTTGTAATGTTGTGCATAACAGAACTGTGATAATCATAAATTTAATACTTTTAAGTAAAAAATTCACTTAAAAACAGTACATTGTAACACAAATTAATATTTCCATCATTGCTCTCCCAAAATTTTGGAATTCCATCCAAAGATGTGTCAGGCTAGATACATGCAAGGGTGATTACATATACCAAACTTCTCAAAATCCGCATTTCTCGGTGAGCTTAAAAATGATGTTGTAGTGCAAATTATTTGCATATATTCCAAATACTTTCAATTTACAGAAGAGTGAATAAATCTGTAGCTACAGAAAAAAAGAGAAAGCGATAAAGGGGTCTAATTATTGCGTGCGGAGCTCTGCGTGCGCTCTCCAATCACAGCCGCGCATCGCGTACAGTCGGTCCCACTGTCATACAGCCGCACGCAGCTCTGTGTGCGCTCTCCGCACGCAATAATCGCTCGATAAAGGGAGAGAGTGAGAGAGGGAGAGAGATAGAGAGGGAGGAAGAGGTGGGCATGGAAAGGGACAGAGTGAGGGGGAGAATGAAAGAAGTACATAGTGATCCTTACGACATAAATACAACCAAACATAAAATAAACAAAAATTAAATCCAACGCTTCTTTAAATCAATTTTTTTCGTACTCCATCTTTTCTTCTTGTGTTCTCTCCCTTTTTATGACAAAAATCTAGATTTATTAAAACCGATTAAGGGGGGAGTTTAAGAATTTATTCCTTCATGTTGCGAGCGTCATCTCCATCACCACCTCAGTTAATATAAATTTCGATTTAGTAAATCCTATTTAACATGAATACGGGTTGCAGCCAAACACCACCTTAAGAACATATTAACTTAAAAGTTTGTCTCCATGCAAGTATAGGAAACAAAGAAGTGAAAAAAATAACATACACATCTATAATAAAAAAACAGCAGGATACCCTAAATTAACTTTATCGCTGAAAGATCTGACAAATCAAAAATAAAATTTGGCACTACCAGAAACACTAGGTGAATATTACCATAAATTAAAAGAGATTGAGAATTATAACAAAATTTAAGCAACAATAAACAAAGATTCACCTTATCAACTTCGTCCCACCAACAAAATTCAGCCTGAATCTTATTGCGGATGACATTGTACAGAAGGACCGGGTAGAAAAGAACCCTCACCCCTGCTCCAACCAGTACTCTCTTCGCGCAAATTGCCACAATCTCATTCTCATAACACTTCTCCAAACCTCCTTCCTCCAGTTCAGTAATCCTCATGGCAGTAACTAACTAATCCAAATCAAACGAATAAGAAACCAAACACTAGAAATCGCCTGAATCGTCTTCTACGCTCTCTATAAACCCACCACAAAGAACCCTAGCAAAAAACACATCTTTTAAGAGCCAGTATGGAAGGCGATCCCTTCATTGTCGATCTTTATCAAAGAAAACATTTTGTTCCTTGAGGACCGGTCGTGATGGTTCCCACTTCCAAGCGTGCTAGGAAAACCACTGAAGTGGTCCGCTTCTGGATTCTGTCGAGCGGGGCAAGCAATTTTCTTTCGCTGATAGTCCGCTTCCGGATTCTGTCGAGGAGGGTTAAGGGCAGAGAGGGAAGGGACCGGGATTACTCATTGTACAAAGAGAGCTGCCCGTTCGATTACTGTGATACACCCATAGTCTACAGTCCAAAAAGAGTCTCTACTTGAGATTTTATTGAGAGGGTAGGCCAATGAACTTTCAACGGACCAAACGAGATTAATTGGTCATTAAATTGTCCATCTTCAAACATTTATCAATATAAAATAGTACTAATATCCGTTATGAATATAAAAGGATATTGTAGTTGGTTACAAATGTGAAAATGTATCATAATAATTTATGACGTACGTATTAAAATAAAGACAAACATGAAATTTTATATTAGATGTCATGAGACTTATAATTAGGAGGTCATTTCTTCAATAAAAGACAATTGAATCTACTTCTCAGAACTTTCATTAATGTGCTCTTATTACCTCTCTCAAGCTTTCTCTCTAGTTCTATCATTTGTCCAATGCTCTATACTATTGGTGTGATCACATATATGGATTCAACAATATACAAAAAAAAAATTATTTCTATACATATGTTTGATGGTAAGTATGGAAAAATTAAAGTTTTGATCTTAGACATGTAAATGCATAGAGCACATACTATGTGCAGCGACCAAACATCAGAATGATGACCCAAATTAGCATTTGTGCAATACACGATGAAATGACAACATTCAAACCCTCATCTAGATGTGGGGTTCGCCGCACATAATATTTTCTGGTCTTCTCAAATGCATGATAGTTAAGTGGCATGTAGTTAAGTCTTCCAAAAAAAAAAAAAAAGATTGCTTTTATAAAATGTATAATTTCCATATAATAATGTGGATAAGATTGAAAGGATAAGTTATTTACGGTGGGCTCATTAGTGCCAGAAAATATTGTGTTTGTCATCCACACTTGTGGATTACAGATAGTGGGGCGACAACTCCACATACATCTCATCCACAGAAGAGGTGGCCGCCGGCCATACCATGCTATCTGTCAGCCATTAGTTGTCCGCACATGCGAACCACCAGAAGCAATATATATATTTTTTCATTAGAGCACATTCAAATGATTAATTAATCGAACGGTATTTAGTATTTTCATAACAACTCATATGAATATCTATGTTCTTTTGATTTAAAAATCATGAATAAACTCTTTAAAATACTTCATTAAATCTAAATTATGTTTTGATTAATGCTCTCTTGTGAATACTGTTGTTTAAAATCTTATACTTTAGGCTAAAAAAATTTACGCGGGCACACTTACAGCATGAATGTCATATTGAAATATATTCAATTTAAATGATTTATAAATATTTTCAAAACAAAAAAGAAGTTATGCAATTGAAATTGCAGAACATGTTCTTATTCGAAGTTGGATACTTGGATGACTCGAAATCTAAGTTGGAGACTTGGTAGCTAAAAGATACCACTCTTTGGTGAGGGTAAAGGAAGGTTCACATGCATACCACTCAAGTTTTATATATTTACATATCTATCACCTAAACTTCATTTTTTACATATATATACAACCTTATATGTATTTCACAATGTAAGAGTTTAAGTAGTGATATTTGTTTTTTTAGGTGATGTCAAAGATACAAGTAGTATAAATGAAAAAAAAAAGTTAAGTTTAGGCGTTACGCATGTAAATACAAAAGAAATGGGCGGTATGCATGTAAATACACCTTTTATGTATTTGATTTATTATAATTCTATTCTCTTCTCTTCTCTCAGGCCTCCATGAACATCATTATTCACTTCAATAATCTTCATCTTAAGGTTGAAATTTAAATGCATTTTCATGTCTTTAAAAATACATGAAAAATATGTTTTTGAATAATTCATAAGCATGAAATTATGTGTATCATACAAATATGTTTCAACAAGCTTAGAATGTTATTGGAAGATTGAACACTAATTTGTGAAGACACTTGATGCCTTAATTTGTAGTGAAAATCAAATCGAATGAGCTTATAAGAACCAATACCAAATTTAAAAAATCCAATCATTGGTTTGAATTAATCTAAATCGATCAATTTTTTGTTAGAGAATTTTGACTTTTCAGTTTGGGAGATTTAGGATCCATTTGGGACAGCTTGTGCGTTTCAGGATAAACAACTTATCCTGAAACGCGACTCACAGGTCGACCGTGAGGGTCGACCCACGACCTGCGTTTAGTATAAAAAACCCAAACGCTGCAGACATTGTTTTTAAAAATGCGAAAATCAAACGATTACACGACGTTTTTAAAAACACCGCCGCACTTATAAGTTCCCCCAAAGGGGCCCTTAACAACTGGGGGTTGGTTGATGATGAATTTAAATAGAATTTAAATCTTGATAGACAGAAGAGATTATAGACAACAAGAGAGTTGCCTCGATTTCAAGGTTAGGGCTAGGGTCGTTAAAGACCCAATTTCCGCGTAAGCTGGAATGAGATCAGCTCGAACAGTGTTAAAACTCAGAATAATATGGTGGAATATTCAATATTTCATTGATATGAACGTATTGATATGAACGTGATTATAAATAATCCTTATAAGAATCTTGCAATAAAAAAAATAATAAGAGGAAATGATATGGAAGGAATAATATAACATATGATATCTCCAATAATTAATTCATATTAATTATTAGAAGATATAGAAAATAAATTAAAATAGGAAAACACATATCTCATTAATTCTCAGGAAATAATTTATTTACAAGAATAAATTATTTCCTGAGAATAATTATCTGTAAATAAATTATAACTCTTAACAAATAGTTTTATTACGGTTCGAAATCGGCTTGTGGCTCGTTATATTTAATTTTAAGCCAAACCAAATCAAAATTGAATCGACCTTGATTCTGCTTGAAATCAAAACGAGTGGTCTCAAATTGAGTTATTCGAATATGTTTCTGCTTGGCTCGTTCTATCTCAAAAATAAAATTAACTAGTTCAAATTGAGTTATTTGTATCTATGTCAAGTCGAAATTGGCTCATACCTCAATTATATTTAATTTTACGCAGCATTATATAATTCTATAAATAAAAGTAGCTCGAGCTGATCTCAAGTCAATTCAAGTCAATTCATGTATAATTTAAAATCAATTCAAAAGATTTTTGATCCAAAATTTGAGTCTAGCTGATTTTTTGAGCCACTAACGACCCTTTGTATTCACGGCCATAGTTAGGGCGGCGTGATCGCTCATCAATGTGGCGAGCGGCCCGATTTGGTAGATTTCGGAGGAGTGAAATCCGGCGACTTTCCACTGCCGCATCCCGTCATCTGGAAGACGAGGGGCACTGGTACTACTCGCCGGAGTGGTGGGGCGATGGTGGAGCTGAAGGGCACACCGTGTTCCGGTCCATTTCTGAGCATGGAAATGGAACTGTTTCTGTTACAGCCTATCCTTCTTCCAGGCCGGTAAACTCTTGCGAACTATTTCCCTGGCATGCATAGACATTTTAGCTTTGTGATATTGACCAGTTTTTCCATTATTTTTCTTGCTAGGGATCCTACTATTTGCAAATTTCTAATTTCTAATTCATTTTTTTGTAGGCTAGAGAGGAGTGGCCTGTCGTAGAAGGATGGCTTCAGGGGAGATATGCAAAGATTCACCCAGAGATTAATCCTCATGATGAGTTTTTCAGAGTTCTTGGTTATCAGTGGCGTGTGCTTCGGTTTAATGATGATACTCGACAAAGCACAGTTAAAATTATGGCGGCATACAGAGAAGCAGATCCTGCATCATTATATTTAATGCAGCAACCTCATTGTTTGGCTGTACCATGTAAATTTCCTTACCCAATCTTCATATCATCATCTGCTAAAATTTATCTAAAAGAGTATTCCCTACAATTTCCTCGTATATCTCTAACATTTTCAGTTATATAATAATTTATACCAAGAAGATGTGCTAGAATTAGCACTTTGTTCGCTTATTATTTTGGTGATTGTTCTGGTGGTTTCATGACTTGATACAAACCTGTTATCTTTCATCTACTTCAAGTTATAAAAATGCTATGGATAGTCCAATTAAGCTAGGAAAATCAAAACCTATGGTTTACTTGGACCAAGAATGGAAAGAAAAGGGCAAGCCAATTAACAAGGAAGAAGAAGTAATGCGCTGTGCATTGAATCGAGAAAGAAAGAAAAACACTGTTGGTTTGTTCGTCGAGTAAGAATGAGCACTTGGGCCATTTGCAAGGTGCCACATATGGCATGTTCTTTCTCTCTTTATTGGGCCATTTGGACTACTTGGCATTAAATTCTTTTGCACTAAAGTCGCCATGGAAGCAAAAAACAAGAGGAGTCATAATATGAACTAGGAATTAGATACAGAATCGAAGCGTCATATTTATAGTCTAGGGCCCTCTATTTATACATGCTTATAGATGTCTTTTGACCGGTCTAGTGATCTTTGCCAACAAGTAGGGTAAACTATAGTAGGATATCCTTCACAATGGATCAACATTTGACTTAATTGGAACCATCCATATTCATTGTTATCATCAAGGCATACATTTTATCCACACTTTTTATGCCTTGGCCTCTATTAATCAATATAGTTATTATCTTGAACTCAAGCATGATTTGTTTCAAATTCTTTGTGCATTGAAATTATTGCATCTCTTCTCAATCTTTATCTACACGATTTATTTGAAAAAGAAAAGAATCACACAATGCCACCGTTGGATGTTGAACGTGAATATTATATATATATATATATATAAAATTAAATTAATTAATTACTTATTTTCTTCTGCCAAAGATGCCCAAGTAAATGAGATAATTGTTTCCCCGCTCTTCTTCTGTTACAAGCACAAATGAGAGCCCCTTTCCCTGTCATTCACACTCTCTCAATTATCCCCGCTCTTTTCATTCTATCCACTCGAAACTGCACGGAGCCTGAAAGCTTTCCTCCCTTGCGATCCACCTATCATAGTTCCTCCTCCGTTTGCTCTCTCTGCTTCGTTTGCAGTTTGACTTCCGCATGAGGGAACTGTAAGCACCTTACCATTTTTTCTTTTTAATTTCATTGCTGTTTTTCTTTGTTTTACACAACACGACCACCAACTTCGAAAACACATACGACACCAAAACTTTGTCTTTTTCTTCTGTCAGGGGCAAACCTAGGTAGGGTCCAACGGGGCAATTGCCTATGATAAAATTTAGATTTTTATATATATGAGAGGACAATTTGAGCTTTTGTCCCTCCTGAAATATCTATTTTGTCTCTCCTGAAATATCACTTTGCCTTTCATTGCCATAGCCCCTCCTATGTTGGGTTTAGGGGGGCAGTTTGCCCTCTCAAAAAAAAGGTCTGTTCACAAAGCCTTCCATACCTTCCTGTCTCTAAAGCCTCCACAAATCATTGAAACCACTGTAGTCTCTCTGCCCTAACCCGCACGCAAGACCATGTCGTTTCTTTCTGCTCCGACCACCAACGACATGCAAGCCTTGCCGCTTCTTACTATTTCACGCAACCCAATCTCTTGCCTCCTTGATTTTCCATCCTTTGTGCACAAATCCACCATTCTTCCCCGCCTCACTTGTGGTTTGGCCCGTTGAAACCTTGCAAGCACCCTCCTAGCATTGCACTAGCTCCACTCGAACTCTTGAGCCCACTCTATCGTTCAAAGCCACGCGATCCCGAACCCGCTTCTTTTTCCCAGTCACATGAAGGAGCCTTGTTTGCCGAACCGAGCCATCCCCTTTTATCTTACCCGACTTGATCATCCGTGCCTAACCCGAGCACCGAACCGAGCCTACCCATTTTAGTACTTTACTCTTCATTTTTCTGTATTATTTGTTTTACATTGTGTAATTGTATAAAAAATATGTGTTATACTTTTATTTATCATTTGTCTTCTCGCCGTCGTCGCTGTCAATGACATCGAAGTTTGAAAAGGTATAAAAATAGGGAATTGGGCAACTTTTGAAATGTCCACTTGAGGATGCTTGAGTGCTAATCCTTGATAATTTTGTACTGTTCCACAGACTCGTTTGGAAAATGTTTTTTTTTAAATTGAGATTTTAAAATACTCGTCTGTCGAAATTCAGTACCTTTCAGAAAAAAACGTGGACTTGTTTGAAAAACTTTTTTTAAAATTGGGATTTTAAATTACTCATCTGTGGGAAAAGTTCATACTCGTCCGTGGGAATTAAGTACCATTCAGGAAATGTTGGTTTGTGATTTGTCATTTTTTGCAAGTATATTGAATGCTCGTTGCACCTTTTGAGATCACAAGTTAAATATTCTGTTTTACTCCCGAGCCACAGTATCTCATGACACTGATCGATAAGTCTTTTGAGAAAGTTGAGAAGACATACATTCTTCTAATGCCCCTAAAGGGGTTGGCATCGGGAGTTACCAAAATTTTTGGTTATTTCATGTAATTAATTTAAAATCCTAAAACATTTAAACTTATAAAATAACATAAAATGTGAATCATTTGAGATTTTAAAATAATTTGAAGTCGAGCTTTTAAAATGTAGGCTCTCTTAGGATTTCAAAATACATGGGATTTGGCCTTTAATATTTAGGCTCTTAAGGTTTCAAAAATAAATACAATTTTGATTTATTTAAAAATTTGAGTTTTATTTAGGCTTCGAGAGTCTTAAAAAAATTGAAATTTTGAGCTTTAAAATTTGGGTTCGTAGGGTTTAGAATAATTCAAACTTGAAAATTTTCAAAATTTAAAATCTTGTCATCGTATTCACAATGTGTCTGCTAGCGAATAGAAGACAATCCTTTTAAATCCCAAAATGAAATTTTGTGTGATTCAAAAATCATAATTTTACAAATATTTCAAGTTTTGAATGATCTGAAAGATTGTCAAACTTCATGACTGTTTCTTAAGTTAAATGCAATTTTTTGAAATTTGTAGAGTATTTATAAAATTTATTTAATAGGGTAGATACTCTGGAACTACAGATGCTTTAAGACATTTAAGAAAATAAGTTAATTATTCACACTTTAAAAATTGGCATATGTTTTTTGAAGTTAATTTCACATCATAGTTCTAGTTTAAAAGATCATGTGAACTCTTAAAATTTATAAAATCTTTTAAGCTATTCAAATATATAAAGTTAAGCGCTCGCATGTACACAAACCAATGCATTGAATGTTTAAATACTAGGTTCGAGAATGATGCGCATGCTAATCAGATCGACCTGTTTATAGGATATAGTTGTAAGTCTCACCCAACTAGTCTGAAATTTTTTGTTACAAGGACTGAAGTTGACAAGTTAATAATTTTATAAATGTCCCAATCATAAAAGCAAGAATTTGTAAGTCTAAGTCATTTAGTCTGATCCTCCTTTTTATAAGGGCAGGAGTCGACAAGACTTATATCTTAAAAGCCTAAACTAACGAAACTAAATGCTCTTTCAAATATAAATATTATGAGTACTTAAATTTCTGATGATGACCGTGTTGATTGAAGATTTCTACAGGAGTGGTTAATCTCTTAAATCAAGATTTTCAAAGTAATCAACCAAAACATTCAAGTTAAAATCAATCACCAAAGACTTAAAACAAATTTGTCCACCCTCCGAGAGGGTGACAAATTTTTTATTGACTTCAGCTCATAAAGAGGTAATGTCATCTCAAATATATTACTATGTTCACAATCAAAGAAATTACATGCTAATAAGGACGTGGTCTGTGTCCTCTGTTCGCGTGCTTTTGTCATCAAATAATATAACAAGTTAGTAATTACAATCAGAGCCCTTTGACCGAGTGTTTGTCGCCAAATGATACCATTATGTTGTGATCATGGTTGTATTTCGTATGTTTGTTAATGACTTTTTATCATTTGAGTTGTGAATCTTAAGGATACAATTGATTGACATAAAACTTTCTGTCAGCTAAGATCGACTTAAATTTGTCCACTTAGACAAACATCCATCTCTAATTTCCAAAGGCGCATTGGAAGACCGCAAGCCATAGTTGCTGACAAATATCTTTCAGTCTAATTAAGTTGACCACCTCCTCTAACTAAGTAGATTATTGACAACGATGACCCGGGATGATAGAATTATGATATCTTGATTGTGTTTCGACTTCATTTCCCTCACCATCTGCTTTAAACTTCAAGTGATAAATTTTGTAAATTAAATCGTAAGTTTGCTGCTATTGTATGTTGCATATTCAATTCTTAATGACTAGATTGAATCAAAAGTGCCCTCCTGTTATCAGGATGAGTTATTAACCATAGGGGTTTGCATCAATGAGAAACCTCAAACCCCATATTTAAAAGTCATCGCAAAATGAGGGCGAAATCTCTGTGTAGTGTTTTATATACAATCCAATCTTCATTCTGAAAATTTGTCTCTCTAAAGCTCTCTGAATACAACACAAAAATATAATAAAGTAAAATGCAAAGTCCCAAGAAGCAGTCGGAATTTTCGGAGCCCACACTAGTTGGAGGATATATTATACCTTTTGATTATGAGTTGGTGATGTAAGGCATCTCAGTCACTGTCATCATTGCCATAGAATTTATGTTTCATATACCTAGGAATTTGTTGTTGTACTTTTTATTTTCTTCTATTTTTTTATTTTGAGGATGCTCGTGTGTCAACACTTGAGTCAGTTGTATTTTGGACCTTATATTGTGAGTCATCTAATTTATTATGTCATGTGCATATTGATGTTTGGACGTGAGCATTGAGCTAACCTAGTTAGTCCTTAGCCTTAGCTTAGCTCAACAAACTTGTACTGGGCCTTTTGGTCGCTATTTGACGGCCATCCCATATATTAACTTTCACATCACGAAGTTGTTT